TCAGATAAATTCGAAAGTTATAAATAGGGAATTCCCCTAAATTATTTCTGATTGTTGACCCGGTTGACAGTGTTATCAATTTGACGGATATCAATATGCGCGTTTTATTATTTATCGATGTGCGTTTTTGTGATTCGGGATTGTGAACTCGAATCAAGTTTTTTTTTTCGAGAATGGTAAAAAGTTAATGTTGTATCAGGAGTAAGTAGGTTTATGTAAATATTTTTTTTGTACTGATCTAAACAAAGGTTCAATTTTATTTGATTTTAGTACCACTCATATTGATGTCCGTTACGTAAATAAATCTATAGATTTCGCATACTCATTGTATAGCGCAAAATACCGTGAAAAATACAAGTCACCTGCAATAGGTATATTAGTGCATAGTAAGTACCTACTTAAGCACAATCTTATATAAATATTGCATAAATAAATTAGAAAACCAAAATTATGGATAAAAAGAGGAAACCAGTGGTGCATTTAAACGCAAATAACGCCAAGAAAGAGAAGAAGGTAAACAAAATTCCCCAAAATTGACAAGTTTTTTAGTCACGCTTCTGGAAGTACGTCTGGACAAAATATTTCTATTGATAGTGACTCAAATAATGTGGTAACTGCAGTGTTGGTTGAGAATCCTACTGAAGAAGATACAACAATTATTATTGCAGTTGAAGATACCTCCGCTACCGATCATGTGAACGTGGATGATGTTTGTATGGCACATAAGAATATAAAAACGGAGGATTTGGAGGAACAACAGACCTCTAAATTTTTCGAAAATGTGTACGATAAATCGTCTTATGACTTGGGAAACTTCACGAACAAAATACTAAATGATAATGAAAGACGTCAAATTCTTGATATGGGACCTTTACAGCCTTCAGGGTACCTTTTCCAACTGATATCAACCAGAATAATAGGTGTTTTTCAAAAATTGCGTTACAAGTTCAAAATATGGACCAGTTAATCGTTTTTGGTTGTGCTATTCCAAAATACTAGACGCTGCTATTATCAACACTGCTGGTTATTTGTTTCACAGAGGAATAATGTCTGATGTACGGGAATTCGTGATTGGAAAAATTTTTTTTCGTAGGAGATGTAGTATATGCATGTATGTATAATTGGAGTATTATTATATAATCATACGGTATATTATAATGTATTTAGAATTTAGAACGGTGGTAGGCATAAACAATTGTGGAATGCAAGTGTATCATTTTTTGGGTTGGAAAATATACTTACTTTTTAGCTGTTCGTAAAGTAAGACCTATTATTCCAATGATAAAATGGTGTATATTTATGTATATTTAATGATTTTCTTCATAGAACCTTACCAGTTTGATAGCAGTGGAGCCCCA